TCGACTTGACCATATCAGACAATCAGACTCTCCGTCAGACGTGCAGGATGTCATTGCGAATGGGCTTTTTTTGCGCTTGTAAATACTCAGTGCTTTGGAGAGATGTTCCGTTATCGGAGCACTGGCGGCGTAGTTTCCATCTTCATCTTGCGTTTCAGATGGTCCGTTCAAGGAAGAGGATGAAACTGGCGACCCGCTGGACTTCCGTTTTGTTCGATGGTTATGTCGTGAAAAAGTTGGTATATCCTCGGTTCAGTCATTTTATTTATTAGAACCAACGTTGCTGTTGGAGTGTCTGATGTAAAATGTGTGTGTCTGCTTGCAGAAGCTTGCGATGATACCAAATTCGGCGTTTTATGCTGCCTCGAACAAACCTGGCAATGAGCATTTTCTTCGAGCCTGCTTCTTCAAGGTAAAAAATATGTTCCTTGTTTTGTCATGCGATTTTTTTAACCAAATAGCTGGGATTGTGCTATTTCTTGGACTTTTTTTAAATTCTGATAGCAGTGATCCTACTTTTGTTCGGGCGATGCTACTTTAAAGAAAATTTTTTTTGGTTCAGCTATAATAGAAAGTTATAATAAAAAGAAATAAAATAAAGAGGAAGAATAAAGAAGGTAAGAAATGAAAATTAGGAAATTTGTGAGATTATTATAATGGTAAAAAGTGTTCCGGTCCATTAAGTCGTACACATTTCTTACCATTACCATTGGACCTCGTAAGTACGGCGACTTTTCTTACTACGTGGCTGGTAACTTTTCCAGTTGCTTTGACCAATGTTGTGCCGCTTAGTGGTCAGTGCCCTGGCGCTTTTGACCTTTGTTTCACCTAAAAAGATTAGCAGCTTACCTGTTTTTCAGCAAAAAATTTGACAAGAATTTAGTTTTTTGAGGCACCTTTAGCGTATATTGAGTTTCTCATCATCTCATCATGAACTTTTTCTTTCCCAGACTACCTTGGATGGTGCGTTGTCGATTTAAGCCGTTTTTGTTTTTTTTGCGAAATTTTGCTTTCATGCTTTGTTAGCCGCTTTTTTTATGAAATTTGGTCCGTTGTGATTCTTGGATCACAGTTGCCGGTGTTATTTTAGCAATACTTGCAAGCATTGTTCACATCTGGAAGCAATGATTCAAAATTTGCAGTTTTTGTACGTCAGCATAACAAAAATTCACAGTATAACAAAGTATAATAAAAATATAACAAAAATTAACAAAAAATTTGTACAGTATAACAAAAATTTGCTTTTCCAGACAGACAAAGTGCTCGATGCAGCTGAAGCGATTCTGAAATCTTTGAGAAAATGAGGCAAAAAAAGTTTTGCTCGTTCGGATTACTTGGGTTCTCTGAATATGCTAGTCACTGTATTTTCGTTATACTTTTATCTCTGTATATTAGTACATACGATAAAGAATTTATACATTTTTGGAAGTATAATTTTGTTTTTTCCTTTGCGCTTCTGAGTTACTTCTATTACGGTAACGTGATTACTTCTTGTTGCTTGTTCACGTAGCAAAAGATGAAATATGTGTGGTTGTGGTCCAAACAGACCGAGGGATTGAATTTTAACAATAGACTTCAGTATCGCTCGAGTCCTAGTTATCAAAAAATCGTGAGAATACGAGGCTGTACTGATGATTCCCACTCCTAATCACTTGACCAGCGCCAGTGTATGTTTACAGCTAAGGGATGAAACAATGAAAGATTTCTTTTTTTCTTCATTCACCTAGTCATCCATTTACAAATACCGAAAAAACTTTGTTCACCAACTACCTGGAGTTTTGCTTTCTATATTCTTGTA